GCACATGACACGCATGCGCAATTTTTTCCCCCAATCCACTTCAGTGCAAACTCCGCCCCACAGCTGATTCTAAATAATTTATTGGTTGTGTCAATTAAAGTGTTGATTTCCTACACTATGCTACAAAAAATGCTAACCCCTAAACCTACCCCACACCTGACCCTAACCTTAACCAGTGAAATTGACTGCACGGCGGGATTGGCGCTGAATAGAGAAAGTTGCAGTTCAGGAGATAAACAGTTATTAAGATTATGCGATATGATTATGCGATATGAGATCGTTCCGTAACTCCCCAACCGGACCTCACCGGACAACGGCACCTTTTTAGTTACACCCAGCATCACTACCCCCTCCTACCCTGCGAATTTCGAGCCCCGGGACGCCCCAGTTGCTTAGATAAAAGCCATAGAGTGAAATCTTTCCCCTGCACTGTGCAGGGACGGCTCGCGGGAGAGCTCGTGGGTGATTCCCGTTTATATATCATTAAGCAGAGGTTCAAACTCCAGTCCGAACACCACTGGCCACAAGCTTTGCGCTCTGCTCTCACGAGAATATTTACTTGTATAGCATATTTTACTTTAGATCAACTAGAAACAATGTTACATTTATAAAGTTTTATTTTGAAATGTAAGTCAGCAACAATTGGCTGGAGCCAGAGCCAATGGTGAAAGTCTTTGCGCGAGGAGACCCCGCCCCATTTTGGAGGTTCTGCCCACTTTTGGAGTTCACGCCCCATTTTGGAGATCTCCGGTCTGCAGTTATATCTACTTGATTTTATGGTTAGACTAGCAGCAACATAATATAAAGAGACCAATATGCTAAAAAAAAATAATAAAAAGCTGTAAAAATCTTACCGGTATATGGTCATCCACTGCAGTAACATACTCCACCACTGCTCCTCCACTGTCTACAAGCACCACAGACGTCATCACTCATACCCCACACTCTGCTGACCCCGTGGCAAACTCCAGGACTGCAGTTGGACAGCATGACAAGAGACAAAAGACATGAAGTGGGAAAAAAAAGATAATTAGCACTGTAAAGAAACAACATCTCAAACATTCATGAACCTCTTTTGCAGAGCCAAAATGACCTGCTCTCCCGTTCTCTCAGCCTGGTTCAACAGGAAACTCACTCTTGCTAAGGAACAGGACATCAAAACAGGAAGCCTGCCTGTGAAACATTGAAGCCATGGCAACAACCAACATGCTTTGGTTTGTGAAGCTGAAATGAAAATTATTACATCTGCAAAACAAAGTCCTTCTCAATACATCTTCGTAAAAAGAGAAACAAGCATCACCGGATCGGGTCAGTCTAGCAGCTGAATTATTGAGTGACTTTGCAACGACGATCCAGACAGCTAAATTGACAGAGCGATGCAATACACTGGTAACATGCACATGCTCAAACCACTGAAAACGAAAGGGATGGTTCAACTAAAACTGAAACTCATTATTTACTCAACTCTCATGTCTTTCCAAACCTGTATGACTTATTTTATCCATGAAAAAACAAAAAACTGAGGTTTGGCAGAACATTCTAATCATTCTTTTCCATGCACTAAAAGTGAAAGCGAATGAATGCTGTCCAACTAGAAAAAGCACCATAAAAGTATGCCATATGACTAGAAATGAATTACAATTCCAGTTACTGAGAATTATCACCGTAAAAAGGTTACCAGAAAGAGAAACTGTGAATAGAAACCATTAATTGAACATCAGATAATTAAAACTTTAACATGGAGAAAAAGCAGAATGCATGTGAAATCTCACTGCAATACAAAAGAATAAAAAAATGTATTGTGTAAAGGCCATAAAAAGCCATTTAAAAAAAAACAATTATTTAAGATAATAAATAATTGTTATATTTAAATCTTAAATGTCATTGAAAAAATAAAAAAAGATTGTAATCACTCAGAAAATGTTAGAAAAAAAGCAAATGCTTCCAATCAAAGGCTAATTTTAAAATTAAGTTGTCCAAAATATCCATTATATTTCATTTCATCACCACATACGACTTGTGTGCTATGTTACAAAGTTGTGTCCCAAATAGGGCTGAAACGATTCTTCAACATTATTTTTATTGTCAACAATGAAAAAAAATGTTCCTGTTGTCTAATAGTTTTTACTTTATTTAAACATTTTATTTTACATCAAGGTGTATGCCGTGCTTCCAACTTTCTTATTCGTTTTGCTAATAAATGTTCTATATATTTCTTATTTATTTGGTGTATTTTTATTCATTTTGTTAAAGGGGACACCAGATGCAAAATTCACTTTTCACATTTACATGGTGTTTGAACTTAAATATATGTGTTGGCAGCGTGTGTACACAAATAATACCCTATAATCATAAAAATCCATCCAGTGCTTTTTTTTTAATTCCCACATATCATAAGCACTTTCTCAGATCAAGCCGTTCACTGATTCTTGGCAAAGTGACGTCACTTTGCACAGGCCCCTCCCACGACTGTTGAGGGGTGAGTGAGTGAGCTGTAAACAGTCCGCCATTGTTTCGACGCCTAAAGGTGTTTAGTTGTTGGATGTAAGAATGAACATAGCAGTCGTCATTTACTGCCGACATCTGAGCCACTGAAGATGCAGTGGATTACTTGTGTTTTTTAAGGGAGTGCGCCCCCCGATCTACCTAAATGCGTTTATATCTGCGCGAATCATTTTACTCTAGACTGCTTTCTGAACGAGGAATGATTCAAGGCAGGTTTTACTAAAAAGTTAAAACTCAAGGATGGATCAGTACTTACTGTTCGTATTCCAGCTGCACCTCCAGAAGTAAGTCCCACATTTTATATTTTTATGATTAGCCTATTTGCTAATCGCCTATCCTCTTCCTCGGAAGAGAGGGGAGGGGTGAGCAGAGCTCATTAGCATTTAAAGAGTCATGCACCAAAACGGGTCGCTGTGAACAGAGCGTTGCACACAGTGTTTCTCCTGTTTATCAGCACTGTTTCATCTGGCTTTAAACTAGTTTAAATCAGTGAGTCATTTGTGTTCTTCGCTGAATTCAAGTGTTTCACACTGGATCTCACAGCTAGTGTTGCGTGACCAAGACTTATCAACGAGTAAACGCATCTGCTCAAGTGAGCTCGTGCTGCGCTGCCATTTAAACTTTGAGCCGAATGGATAAATGCTCTGCTTGGCGAGGTTTAAATGAGTAGCGCTGTTTCGTTCCGCTTTTGGTGCATAAACATTATATCAAACTCTTCATATCATTTTGTCGAGGAAAATTATATTGTGATAATTATCGTTATATCACCCAGCCCAACATAAATCTAAGTAAATTAAAGAATTTTCTGAAAAATTTTTTTTTTAACTTACAACACATAAAATGTCTTCATGGCACCACAGCTGTTTGTTTTTCCTTTCATTAATCACAAAGAGTAACAGAAATTGCCATACAAACATATACTGAAGACTGTTAAAGTGCTCTAATAAATTCCCTGCCCAATTGCCACGGCAACGCAGTCACAAGGTCTGCAGGGATGAAGAGGGGTGTGGCAACTAAACGTGACACATGCATACACACATCCTCATAGATGCGTCTGGATCATGTTATCTGCAAATCACCAAATGACAAGTTTCTTTCAGCTTCCCCATTAGAGCCTTCCCCATAACTGCTGCTAAAGAACAACATATCTTGTATTTTCAGCTCAATAAATAAACAGAAACCATATCAAATTTCTGCATAGCCCACAACATCTTTCTGGCTGAATAGCATCATGAGTGTACCATTACTTGAAGTTTCAATTCAACACAAGCTATGTAATTAGATAGCATCAAGGAAGTTCAAGCAGTAATTCATCTGTTTCCAACCTATTGTTCCTGGTGCAGCTGTGGAATTCCACTGTGTTCCCGTTCCATTCCAAGACGTATTCCAATTCCCTAGAAAACATTCCAAGATATTCCTGGTCCACTCCTTGTCCTTGCAAAATCTCCACATTTCAAAAAACTGACTCCAGAGAAGATTCCCCTTCCCCACAGCACCATCAGGGAAAGAGTGAGTAAGGACCGAATGAGAGAAGTGCACGTAGTCTGCACCGTAGAGTTGTTGCACACTATTGCTTTCATTTCCCTTTTTGTCATCCACACCTCTTTTTTTTGTTTCTCTACGTCTTCTTTCTTTAATGGCCCTGAATCTTTCCTTTCTCAGTCGGTCTCTCTATCATGCTCACATCTCAAGGGTGAGGCAGCGTTTGTAAGTTCGACTCAGCGTTCTGAGAGGCAGGATCACATGGTCGGAGCTTTCCGAACAGGCATCACATGACCAGGGCACAATGCTGCTTTTGTGTCTTCAACAGACTCTCCAGCGATGCAACGTCCCACCTTTAGAAACACACACACGCAACAGATGCCAAAATCCAGCCTCCACCCAACAGCCCTCCAGATGCAACAAATTATTCCTCAGTGAGAATCTACTGGCCTGAGCTTTCGGTCAAAACACATCACCTAACTGACAAAAAGCCACTTCTGTTTTTACTAGATTCAGTTTCTGTAGCCGCCTTCTGCATTAAAGGGATATTTCACCATATATATATATATATATGAAAAAAACATATACAACTTTTTTCATGGAACACATAAGGAGATATTTTAAAGAATGTTTATGCTGCTCTTAAGCATAAAATACAAGCATACAGTGACAAAGGCTTTTCAAGCTTTATAAAAGTATGACTTGTGCACTATATTCTAAGTCTTCTAAAGGCTTTTGTGAGGAACACGCTGTAATTGTTTTATTTCAACATCACGTTCATAATGAACATTTTCATTAAATAAATGAAGTAAGTCCCACATTTTATATTTTTATGATTAGCCTATTTGCTAATCGCCTATCCTCTTCCTCGGAAGAGAGGGGAGGGGTGAGCAGAGCTCATTAGCATTTAAAGAGTCATGCACCAAAACGGGTCGCTGTGAACAGAGCGTTGCACACAGTGTTTCTCCTGTTTATCAGCACTGTTTCATCTGGCTTTAAACTAGTTTAAATCAGTGAGTCATTTGTGTTCTTCTCTGAATTCAAGTGTTTCACACTGGATCTCACAGCTAGTGTTGCGTGACCAAGACTTATCAACGAGTAAACGCATCTGCTCAAGTGAGCTCGTGCTGCGCTGCCATTTAAACTTTGAGCCGAATGGATAAATGCTCTGCTTGGCGAGGTTTAAATGAGTAGCGCTGTTTCGTTCCGCTTTTGGTGCATAAACATTATATCAAACTCTTCATATCATTTTGTCGAGGAAAATTATATTGTGATAATTATCGTTATATCACCCAGCCCAACATAAATCTAAGTAAATTAAAGAATTTTCTGAAAAATTTTTTTTTTAACTTACAACACATAAAATGTCTTCATGGCACCACAGCTGTTTGTTTTTCCTTTCATTAATCACAAAGAGTAAACAGAAATTGCCATACAAACATATACTGAAGACTGTTAAAGTGCTCTAATAAATTCCCTGCCCAATTGCCACGGCAACGCAGTCACAAGGTCTGCAGGGATGAAGAGGGGTGTGGCAACTAAACGTGACACATGCATACACACATCCTCATAGATGCGTCTGGATCATGTTATCTGCAAATCACCAAATGACAAGTTTCTTTCAGCTTCCCCATTAGAGCCTTCCCCATAACTGCTGCTAAAGAACAACATATCTTGTATTTTCAGCTCAATAAATAAACAGAAACCATATCAAATTTCTGCATAGCCCACAACATCTTTCTGGCTGAATAGCATCATGAGTGTACCATTACTTGAAGTTTCAATTCAACACAAGCTATGTAATTAGATAGCATCAAGGAAGTTCAAGCAGTAATTCATCTGTTTCCAACCTATTGTTCCTGGTGCAGCTGTGGAATTCCACTGTGTTCCCGTTCCATTCCAAGACGTATTCCAATTCCCTAGAAAACATTCCAAGATATTCCTGGTCCACTCCTTGTCCTTGCAAAATCTCCACATTTCAAAAAA